AACCCCAATGACTAGTATTTGGTTAGCACTGTAGCACTATCCTTCTGTTGTTCATCGATTTGCTCAAGTAGGCACCAGTAACGTCTCCTTGTTACTGTTTTTGGCATCTAGAATACGTCAGGGGTGGCTTGCCAGGCTTTGCCGTGTGGACAAGATACTCCTGGTAGCTTGCCAGACTCTCTGAGAGAGGCTGAGGAATTGAACCTGGGTGGGCTGCGTGCAAGGCAAATGCCCTACCTGCTGTGCTATTGCTCCAGCACAGTATTTGAGTAGCTTTTGAATATTCTGCTGACATACCTCATTTACAGCCCCACTGGTTTTCAAATCTTCTACCACTTCTCTAAATGAAATTCCACTTTACTACCTCTTAGTTAATAAACCATGATCTTGTTCCTTTACTTATGTGGATGTGATGAATTTTTCTAGTTATCCAGTTAACATACCTGCTATAAATGAACGATGAGATAAGATGAGATGAGATTTTCAGTTGACCATGAGTGACCAGTCCACAGTGAACTGGTCACTCTTGACTGGTCATTCCAAACCAGAATCTATCTCAGGACTTTTCAGTCTTACAGGGTCTGTTACCTTTGTATTGCAGGTGTACAAGTATCCTCCAAGGCAGTGTAGACAGAATGACACACACCAGTAGTAGTATTTCCAGCACTCTTGATAGCTGAAAATGCTTTTAATTAGATGTCAAGTATTTTCCTCCTTTTTTTATTCTGTTGAGTTCTAAGTTCAAGCGGTAATGAAACTCATGACAATAAGGCTTTGGATCCACTAATGGGTACCTACAGGTCAAATTTTATACATCACACTAGTGAAGACTTTCCTGTTTATTTCTGAAATGTACAAGATATTGAATATTAAATCCCATGGAAATAATTCAGCAATAATTTGTGGAAAAATGGTTTATCATATGAAACTAGGACATGGCTGACATTGTAGCTTTTATGTTTCAATATCAAAACTACAGACTTGTAGTCAATGATTTCATAATAGCTAGACTTTGTGAAAGGTAAAATATGTAAGAAGAGTATTAAAAACTTCAATTATACTCCTTACAGACAAGACTTGTATCCCAAATAAGGCTAATCCTATTACTATTAGCCTGATCACAAAAAGATATTGGGGCTATTAATACTCTGTGTAAGAGCCTCTTGCAAAGATTCTTCTTAAAGATAATACGGGTTCTGAAATATTAAATGTTTTTCAAGCCAGGCCAAGCAAAACAAACAAAACCAAACACCTTAGGTGAATCCCCTGATAATAATCCTGACACATTATGTTGAGGTACATCTATTCATCTTATTTTACATCTTTCACCAGCATATGGGTTTCCACACCTGATCAAAATACTTTATTGCACTTATCACCATTGTTGTGCATAGTTTAAGTCCTCTTGTTTAGCTAGAAAGTTATTTTGCTTTTGTTTGGTTTGGCAGTTGGTTTTTTGGGCCATGGCCAGAAGTGCTCAGGGCTTACCCTTGTCTCTGCACTCAGGAGTGGCGCCAATGGGCTCAGTGGACCACATGTGGTCCCAGGGATTGAAACAGGGCCAAAAGTGCAAGGCAAGTACCTGTACTATCTCTGCAGTCCTAGAAAGTTATTTTGAATGACCCTTGCAATTTAGCAGGCTGGAGTGTGCAGTTTATTCTAAAGAGATGGCACAGAGTTGTTCTGAAGGTGGCAAGAAGAGCTCAGTCACTTCAGCACCCAGCACTGTCAGAAGCTAGACTTCGTGATGCCCAGGCCTACATATCAGTCCCCAGAAGAGAGGAAGGTCAGCACAGAGCATGTACAGTGCACCTGCAGAACACACTTCTGACTCTGTTTATTCTGGGTACTGGTCCTGCCTTCTAGTACCTCCTAGTGCCTTTTGGGTATTGCACCTACCGTCTTTTTTATTAGTTAATTCAGCTTAAGGTGGGTGCTGTCACAAACAAGAAAGAGAAAAAAAGCTATTCAAAACTGAATTAAAATAATGGTGAGTTCAGGTGATCTATCTGGGAAAAATGAGATGTGAAGAAAACAGTGTTTTTACCTGCTAAAGTATTCACCTGACTAGATAAAAGAAAGCCCTCCTATGACATTATCTTGAAACAGTTTGCTTGCTATCATGGTGGAGGGAGTAAATTTCAAATTACAACGGGTCACACCCGGTGATGTACAGGGGTTACTCCTGGCTCTTCACTCAGGAATTACTCCTGGCAGTGCTTGGGGGACCATAAGGGATGCTGGGAATCGCATGCAAGGCAAATGCCCTACCCGCTGTGCTATGGCTCCAGCCCTGGTCCGGGCACTCTTGACTGCTGGGCATGCCTTGCTTCCTTTCCTGGTTCTCTTCACCCTCTGGTCTTTAGGGGAAAGTCAGCCATATCTCCAAGGGATATCTCCCTTGGAGATATGGCCAACTGTGAGTGGTCCCTGTGCTGACCGGCTGTGGTTGCAGCATGAAGCTAGGATGGCATCTTCTTGGTACACTGTTCAGGCAAGCTCAGTCCCCCAAGAAAACTCCCTTGTGTGGAGCTAAAGCAGATACAATCTACTGACTGATTCTATTATAATACAGCCATTTCGTGTGGTTCAACTTACCTAAAATGTTGGAAAGGATTGCAGACATCACTGGAGAGAATTAAAGAGAAACAGCTTTAATGGATCTCTTTTCACTTCCCTGAGAGCATAAGCCACAAACTGCACACACAACCCCAAAGAAGTTCTTAAGATCCCCCCAAATGCACAGCATTTGTGAAACAGTCTCTGCACGGTATCTCATTGGCCCCTAAAGGCACTGCCACCATGTTCTATTATTTCTGTGATAGGGACTGTCAGAGAACTCTGGGAAAACATTTAGGAGAAGTATATGAACAATATGTTGAAATGACAAGCATATAGGGGTCAAAGGACTTGGTTACTCTCTGAGACCAGCCTTTGGTTTGTCGTATTTTTCTGTGTCTGGTTAATAACAAATATTGTTATTAAAACTTCAAAATAAAGTATTATGATTTAAAAAGGAGAGAGAAAAAGTAACATGGCTCTTCTTAGAAGTTCTAAGGTGTGTGTCTTTCTGAGAGTGAAGAAAAACTAAACTTTGGAGAAACTTTTCCATAATTCTATCCCGCTACATAAACCCTTGGTCATTTCTTGTGCGTTGAAGAAGAGAACCACCTTCTGGGCTCTCTAAGGGCAAAGTTGTTTTACACTACACTATATTTCCGTCTCCTCAGGAGCACTGAGCACTTGATGAAGTTCACAATCATTATACCATTTTATATAATGTATTTTTTATAGCTGAACAGGAAAAAGGGCAATTTTCAAACTACCCATCAGTTTCAGTTCACCAAACACAGCTTCCAAAATTACAGAAATGTGTGTGTGTGTGGTGTGTCTCTCTGTGTGTGTATGCGTGTATGCACATTTGGTGTGGAGGGCTCTGAGCCATGCTTGGTGGTACCTGGCATCATGAGGTGTTAGAGCTAGAACTCAGTCTCCCACATGCAAAGTTTATAGTTTGTACTCAACCCTTCGAGCTACCTCCCTAGTTCCTGAATGATTTTTTTTTTACTTATCAGGGTTACAAGTCAGCAAAGCCAAGTACAACGCAGGTGACAGGTGACATGTGGCCTAGCAGGTAGACAGCGTGAGTAAGAGCAAGGAGGCCTCAATGATTCCACCAAGCCACATTGACCATCAGCAGGAGAGCTGCACGTGGCTGCCTGCAGGTCCACACTGAGATGACGCTGGGCTTCCCAGCCGGCCCCCGAGCCTCGCTCTGGAGGTGGTGGCTTGCTCTGTGCCTCTGGGAAGCAGCAAACCAACTCTACAGGGCAGCTCTGTGTCCACAGGTACAGGATTCCAGCTGGGGAGGCAGTGCAGAGTTGGGTCACAGCTTTGCATGAAAGGACTCTCCTTTCCTGTTGCTCCCCAAGCACCACGGGACAGTCCCGGTGGCCTCCATCCAACATCTAAGAGCCTGGCCTTTACTTTAATCAAAACCAATGTGTCTGGGACTGGAGAGACAGACCGGGGCAAAGCCACTTGCCTTGAATGTGGCGGATCCTGATTTGATCCCTTGCACCATATGGGGTCCCCCAAGTTCCACCAGGAAAAATTCCTGGGCACAGCTGGGCATGGCCCCCCAAACCAGACTGAAAGCAAAACTAAATAAGTGTGTCTTAAAATAACCCATGCTCGATCATTGTATGACTGTAACACAAACATGAAAGCTTTGTAACTGTAAAAAAAATAATAATAATAAAATAAAATAATCCCATTTTCTAGCTTCATGATGTGCAACTGCAAGAAGTGATACCAGAAGCATATTGCTATACCTGACTGAATGAGGCCAGGTGCCTAGTCTTTCAACAGCACTTGACCTTGTCATAACCTGAAACGTGCAGCTTGTGGTAAAGCAGCTTCTCCAGTCCCTAGAATTCTGACTGCAAACTTGATCTGTTTATACAGTATGAAACTGAGACCTTTGCCCCAGTTATAATGAATGTCACCTCACCATTTTTATAGTTGGGAAAGCCTGGGGATGTCTTCCCTCTTGCTCATTCCTTGTCCTCCCAGCCTATGCCCATGTCCCTATCCCATCCCCTGTAACTTATGCCCCCCTTGGAAATCCCAACCTCAGTGGTCGAGATGGGAGAAGACCTAGGTAAATGTTTGATGCTGACTCTTTTTTTCTTTTGGGGTCACACCTGACAATGCACAGGGGTTACTCCTGGCCCTGCACTCAGGAATTACTCCTGGTGGTGCTCGGGGGACCATATGGGATGCTGGGAATTGAACCTGGGTCAGCCACATACAAGGCAAACGCCCTACCCACTGTGCTATCACTCCAGCCCCTGATGTTGACTCTTGCATTGCTCCAACCTTGAGTATCTTCGGTGCACCTGGACCTGACATCTGACATTCGCCCAGCCTAACAAAAGAGCACAAGCTTTTGAGGACCAGCTCTGATTTCACCATCATAAGAAAATCATCTTCCCCTCGAGGCCTTGGTAGTTTCTCCTGGATCTTTTCTATCTCGGATCACACTTTTAACCATGTGGCCTGAAATTCACTTTATTCTTCCTTTAGTCCATCACCAATGTGGCTGCGGGCCTGAGGCTGACTCCGCACCATGATGCACAGAGCCACCAGGGCCAGCACTGCCCCAAATCCTGGGGGTCCGCATGGGCTGAGTTCCTGTGCCAGGCCCGAGAGGAGTGGGGCGGCCACGCGGCCCATGGCAGTCACTGACTGCCCGAGGCCCACCAGGGTCCCTCCGGTCCTGGGCCCTCCAGCCTTCAACTGCAGGTGGGTGAGGCAGGTCCTGCCAATGGTGGTGGATATAGCCAGCAGGGCGGTGGCGGCCAGCACCAAGCCCAGACTCTGGGCCACGGTGTGGAGCAGCAGCGCCAGGCTGGTGAGGGCACTGGTATGGCGTAGGGCCGCGTGGGCATCGTGGTGGTGCAGTCGCAGGATGGGACCCACGGCCAGGCCTGCCAGGGCACCCAAGATGCTACTGCCACTGATGAGGTAGCCCGCCACCCAGGGCCGCATGCCAAAGCGCTGCTGCAGACCCAGGATGAAGTTGCTGTGGTAGAGCATGACTGAGATGGCCAGGAGCAGGCGCACTGTGAGCAGCTCCCACATCCCGGGCAGGAGCAGGCCCCTGACGTCCTGCAGGGCCTGCAGCACGGGTACCCCGTGCACCCGGTCAGGGTCTCCCAGCACTGCAGCCCCAGGGGTGGGCACCCGGGAAGGCTCTGTCTCTTTCTGCAGCCTCTGCTTTGTGTCTGGGTGTAGGCTTGGAGGAGCACTTGGTGTCCCTTCACTCCAGGGAATCAGCCACACGAGACCTGAGGAGGAGAGGGAGGATTAGTGAGGGAGATCTCATTTCCCTGCCACCTGTCCTGCATCAACTGACTTGCATCTTCTGAACACAAGTTCTGACCATTCCCACAGCTCAGCTAATTCTTCTATTTTTTTTTAAGTTTTAATATTTTAATGAATCACTGTGAAATACAGTTACTGACTTACAAACTTTCATACTTATGTTTCAGTCATACAATGACCGAGCACCCATCCCTCCACCAGTGCCCATTCTCTACCACCAATGTTCCCAGTATCCCTCCAATTCCCCCCCCCCCCCCAACCGACTTCCCCACCCCTCCCCCCGACCCTCTGCCTCTATCACAGGCACATTCCTTTTTACTCTCTCTCTCCTTTAGGGTGTTGTGGTCTGCAATGCAAGAATTGAATGGCCATCATGTTCAGTCTATAGTCTATTTTCAGCAGGTATCTCCCATCCCGAGCAGGCGCTCCAAACACCCTTTACTTATCCCTTTCTCTATCTGAGCTGCCTTTTCCCCCCAGTCTGTGAGGCTGGCATTCAAGCCAAGGCAGCTCAGCTATTTCTACACACTATGCTCTTCACCCTAAAAAAAATTCTCTACCAAGATTCAGTTCTTTTTCTCCCTCTCGGCCCAAGAGCTACTGTTGGTTTTCTGTATCCCATAATTTCATATCTGAATTTATGCTTTATGTCTAAATTATTTTCATTTGTTAGCTTTCTGATTCTCTGCCTATCCCATTATCTTTCAATCACCAACCCTTCCATCTTCATCTGTCCAAACACTATATATTTATGGAGGACTTTTCAAATGTTAACCGATATCTAAAAGCAAGTTACATGAAACCTCCTCCTCCTTCCAGGTATTCAAGCCTAAAAGGTAGTTCCGAGAAGTAAATGGACAATTCAGTGATAGCGCAATTGTTGCGTGTGGAATGCCAACCACAGAATGCCAGGGACAGAGTCAGTGGGCCTTGGCTTACAGGTGAGAATAGAGACAGACCAATGACTGTTCAGAAAGCACAGACTGGGAGGTCAGGACCACCACATGCTTAAAAGCAGCAAGTCAGAAGCCAGCAATCAGCCCCTCCACCCGCCCCTAGGTGCCCCTACACACAAGCTACTTCCTGCCCACAGAACCCACCTCTGCCCTAATGGTGAATTTATATACCCCAAGCTCTCCAAGTACAACAGCTTTTTTTGTCAACTTGTCTCCCCAAAGTTTCTTAAAACCCAATTCAAGCTCCCTAGAATTTGGGAGCTTCCTTCCAAACTCATCCCTGAGGATTTTTCAATTCTTCACTTTACAAGATCCACTTGAACTAGAGGCTCAACAGTGCTGCTTCGACTCAATATAAACCTCTCAGAAGAGAGCATAAAATGATATGTCATAACCATACCACTGACCCTGTGCTAGGCTGTTTCATATCACTGACCCTGAGCCAGGCTGTTTTATTCAGGACAACTCGGAGGAGGGCAGGTGAGGTCCTTTCCCCACCCCAACAGAGCCAGCTCTGGCAGCTGAAAATTTCTAGAACTCAACCAATGCCATGTTCACGGCCACTCTCCACAAGCTTAGGCAAGCCTCACTGATGAGTCAATCTAGGGCACCCCAGAGGTGGGGGCGGGGGCAGGTGAGACCCCATCCTTCCCTACCCCAAGGGACCCAGTCCCAGCAGCCAAAAACCTTCAGAACTCAGCCACCGCCATACTCATGGCCACTCTCCACACGCTTGGGCGAGCATCACCCATGAGTGAATCTATTCCTGGAGTGTGCAAAGCATTCACAGCCATGTGGTACTTCAAACCACACACCCTACCCATGCTCCAGGAGTACCGTACCACATCTGATAGGGTTCAAAGTAGGAGGCAACTAATCTTAGAGGGAAATATACATTATTTTTTACAGACAGATATACAAAAAGCACACAAGGCTCAACCTTTAACAACATGTTAGTGTTCTCTTATAGAAGGTCTTAATGGTCCCTGAGTGAAATACAACAATCTCCACACTCTTTCCTCTAAGGATATTTTTTTGTAGCATTTTCAGCGTTTTTTTAAATAATAAACAAAACAAAATATATTATTTTGGTTTTGCTTTGGAGCAGGGATTGGGGTTCAGGACGGGAACATCCAAAATATGGTGTAATAGTGGTGGGATTGGTATTTGAATATTAAATGTAATGAAGTATTGTGAATTACTTTATAAAATAAAAACATTATATTAAAAAAACAAAAACAAAAACCTTTCTTCTGATTTAAAAGAAGTAATCTGAGAGAAAATGAATCTCTGGAAACAAACAAGAATGATAATGCTAGTTATCAGAATATGTGGGACACAGTAATCATGGTGTTAAGACAAAAGTTCACAGCAATGCAAGGATTCATTAGGAACTAAGAAAAAAAAACAGATAAATGCCCTAAGAGCACAGATTAAGCAGCTAGAGAAAGACCCAAGCTAAAAGAAGGCAGGAAATATAAAACTCGGGGCAGAAAGAATAAACACATCTGACAAACCATTGCTTAGACTCACAAAGAAGAAAGGAAGATGATTCCTATAAACTGAATCAGAAATGAATGAAAAGACTTCTTCACAATGAATATCACAGAAATTCAAAGGATCATCAGGGAATCACTATTAAAAACTACATACTGTATAACTGGAAAAACTAGAAGAAATGAATGAAATTTTTAACTCCTATAACCTTCCAAGTCTGAATCAAGAGAAAAAAGAGCACCTAAGTGGGCCAATTATTTTCAAAGAAATTAAAATGGTAGTCTAAAGTCTCCCCAGGAAAAAAAAAAAGCCGGGCCCAGATGCGCTCACGAGTTTTTCCAAACCTCTGAAGAAGAACTACTCCAATTCCCTTTCAGGCTCTTTGAGAGTCTTAGGAACAGAAATCCTCCCAAAGGGTTTCTTTGAGGTAAACTTTGCGTAGATACCAAAATAAGAGTCATTAAATAGGAAACTGTAAGCCTTTATTCCTGATGAACATAGATGCAAAGATCTTCAACAAAATATTAGTAACTAGAATACAACAATATACTGAAAAGACCATAAGCAAGTGGGTGTCATCTCAGGGATGCAAGGATGGTTTAATATACACAATCAATGTAATATAGCCAATCAATAAGGCAGGACACAAAAGCAACACGCAATACATGACATTTCTATATGCAAACAGAGAAATAGAAGAGAGAGAAATTAAAACAAAAGTCCCATTCACAATTACAAAACACACACACACACACACACACACACATAAGTAACCTGGGACAAAAGAAGTGAAAGACATAAAAGAGAATTATAAATGGTCACCACTAAAGAAATAAAAGAAAGCACAAGAAAATGGAAATATGTTCCCTATTTAGGGGTGGAAGGGCACACCCAACAATGCTCAGGGGTTACTCCTGGCTGTGCTCAAGGGACCAAATGGGATGCCTCCAATTGAATCCGGGTCTACTGTGTGCAATGCAAGCACCCTACCCAAAGTATTCTCCAGCCCCACTATTCTTGAGTGGAAGTATAATTACAGTCAAAATGAAAATTCTACCCAAAGCACTATATTCAATGCAGTCCCTATGAAATACTTAAGGCATTTTTAAATATATTAGACTATAAGCATAAAAAAACATGTATTTTGCTGCTATGTGGATGGGTCTGAACAGTACCATGCTGAGTGAAGTGAGTCAGAAGGACAGACACAGAACAACCTCTCCTATGTGGTCTCCTATGTGGTTACAAAGAAAATAGCAAGGTAATAACAAATAGCCACAAACAACTGAGCCTGAGAACTGCACTTACCAGTCAGGAGGATATGAGGGTACACTAGGGAGTGGAGCATGCTGGTGGGGTGTGTGGTGCTAGAAAGTTGCATGCAGGAAATCCTACCATTAGCAGTAATTGCAAATCATGATGACTAAAATCGATAAATAAATATATTTATATCTATCTATCTATCTATCTATATATAGATATTTTTTTTTCCCTAAGAGGAGGTAGGTGAATGTGATTTGACTCCTTCCAAGTCAGCCTAGGTATAAAGAACATGGTGGATGCGTGGCACTCCATTTCACACTCCCACAAGGCAGTCCACACTGGTATGTGGCCTGTGAAAGGCCCTGGGCCAGGGATGCCTGCAGCAGCGAGAGCTCCCAGCCACAGGGCCTAAGGCAGGGAAACTTGCTCTCCCAAAGTAGAATTCGTGCGCAGAGTCGACCGGAGGGGGCAGCTCTGGCTGTGCCCTGGGCTCTCCCCTGCACACATACCTTGTGCTTTCTCCTCTCTCCCTCAGCTTCTACTTTGTTGAGAAAGGGAACTTTCTTGTCTTTTCTGCTGAGATTTTTGTGTTCCTAGCTTGGATTCTGGAGTCTGAGTCTGATCCTGAGACGCCAATGCTAAAACTTTGCTCTGCCAACCTCTACTGTTTGCTTATCTACAAGCTGGGTTAATGCAGGGCAAGGAATACAGCTCAGTGTAAGAGGGCTAACCCCCACGGATGAGGTCTGGGGGTTCATCCCCAACTTACCCCAGAGTTCAAAAAATAAAACAAGGGGCTGGAGCTATAGTACAGTGGGTATAGTACAGTGCCTTGCATGTGGCTGACCCGGGTTTGATCCCCAGCATCCCATATGGTCCCCTGAGCACCACCAGGAATTAATTCCTGAGTGCGGAGCCAAGAGTAACCCCTGTGCATCGCCAGGTGTGACCCATAAAGAAAATAAAATGGGTAACAAAACTCAAAGACTTGTGACAGATATAAAGGACTTTACATATAAGTGGTGTAGTAGCATTGTAGCGTTGTCCTCCCGTTGTTCATCGATTTGCTCGAGCGGGCCCAGTAACGTCTCCATTGTGAGACTCGTTGTTACTGTGTTTGGCATATCAAATAGTTCACGGGTATATTGACAGGCTTTGCTGTGCGGGCGAGATACTCTCAGTAGCTTGCCAAACATTCCAAGAGGGGCGGAGGAATTGAACTCGATTTGGCCATGTTGGCCGCTTGCAAGGCAAACGCCCTACCCGCTGTGCTATCGCTCCAGCCCAAGTGGTGTAGTACCTCCTATGACATTGCTAAATGCCAAATACAGTAAGAAATATGATCATCTTAATACTTCTATTTGCTTTGGGTTCACACCCTGCAGTTCACAGGCCTTATTCCTGGCGCTGCACTCTAGATTCAGTTCTGACAGGTGTCGGGGAACCAAATGCAGTGTTGGGGACAGAATCTGGGTCAGCTTCATGCAACTGCCTTCCATGCTAAACTAATCCTTTGATCCCATTTTTTTTTCCTTTTTGGTCACACCTGATGATGCACAGGGGTTACTCCTGGCATTGCACTCAGAAATTACTCCTGGTGGCACTCGGGATGACCATATGGGAATCGAACCCGGGTTGGCCGTATGCAAGGCAAACTCCCTGCACGCTGTACTATTGCTTCAGCCCCTCCCATAATAATTTTTATTATTTCAACTTGACCCTTTTCCTTTTGTTCATCAAATACAGACCATTCCTTCTATTTTAATCAGAATTCTGTGAAAGACCCAGAGGCATGTTCAGAGGTAAGATGTTGGCCACAGCTAAGTTTGAGACACCAGGGCAGAGCGGCTCAGGCCTGCATTCTTGTGCTGCTATATTTCTGCTATCGTCTGTTCTGACCAGCAGTCCAGTGTGGTGGGAGCTGCATGCGGGACGGCTGAGAGGGCATGGCTGCCTCAGTGCAGTTCTGAGACACATGCATATGTTAGTGTGATGTGAAGCATCTGTGTCAGCCTGCAACCAAGACAACTAACTTCCAGTTTCTAACAAACTGTCAGGAGATTAAGACAAAAGTCAGGCCAGGGAGAGAGCTCCAATGGCCAGAGCACCAGCTTTGTGTACACAGGCCTAGAGTTCAATCTCTGGCTCTGCATGTCCCTGAGCACCACCCAGTACAGCTCTGGTGCCTGGCCAGATGTCACCAGGGGAAGTTCCCAGGTCCTACATACTGCCAGAGTGCCCCTACCCAGCTATGTGCTCAATACATACCATGATCTTGTCATGATCCAATGTTAACTCACCGGCATTGAGTAGGAAGATGAAGAAACAGATGAAGGCTGTTAGGTAGAATCCACCGTCTAATTCGGTAAGGTGTCCCCCGACCACTGGGCCCAAGATGAAGCCCATGCTGGAGGCGGTGTTGAACTGTCCCATCACTGTTGGCCGTTCCTGCTCGGAGACCAGGTCGGAGAGGAGAGCCCGTGAAATGGAAAGGGTGTGTTTGAAGATACCTGCCAGGGGACAAGCAGCATGTCCTGTAGCAACTTCCAGGCTGAGAGGCTTTAGCACTTTCACTCTCCTACAGACGCTGCTGATGGCCACTGTGTGTGGAACTTGGAAGCCTGCGAATGCCTGCCTACAATGGCTGGGTTCCTGGGTGCAGCCCCTCCCTCCTAGCCAGTCACCCCATGCCTGCCAGTGAATATCCCACAGCTGGCCCTGCCCACGTGTCCCAGTGTCTCCAGACCTTTCTATGACCTGAGTGTGATTTGGGGTGGCATTTTGGGTGGGGATTTGGAGACTGAGGCAACATCCCAGATTGCTCACATCTTACTCCTGGGTCTGAGCTCAAGGATCACTCCTGGCAGGGTTCAGGAAACTGTATGGGGTGCTGGGGAACCAAACCGAAATGAACTGCATGTAAGAAATGTTCTGTCCACTGTGTTACTGCTCTGGCTTCCAGAGTAGCTTCTATTAGATATTCTTCCCAGCAGGCCTGCAAAATATCTTTTGCATGCTTGCAGTGTGCACAACTCCATGTCACTTTCCTTGGCCTCTGGCTCAGAAAACAATGCCAAAGACAGAGCTAAAAACAGTTAAGAAAATATTCTTGTACATCTGATATGTACATCACGGTTCTCCCGTTGTTCATCGATTTGCTCGAGCGGGCCAAGTAACGTCTCCATCATGAGACTTGTTGTTACTGTGTTTGGCATATTGAATACATCACGGGTAGCTTGCCAGGCTCTGCCGTGCAGGTGAGATATTCTCAGTAGCTTGCCGGGCTCTCTGAGAGGGGTGGAGGAATCGAACTCTGGTCGGCCATGTTGGCCGCTTGTAAGGCAAATGCCCTACCTCTGTGCTATCGCTCCAGCCCGAATGTATATACATACATATATAAAAGTGATATGTGCCCATAGAGAGAAACATAGTTATGATGACATGACTAATCAACACTAATTTTCATTTCTTTTCTCTTTTGGTTTGTTAGGGCACACCTGGTGGTGCTCAGGGCTTACTCCTGGCTCTGTGCACAGGGATCACTCCTGCAGGGCCTTGGGGACTATATAAAGTACCTGAGATCAAATCTAGGGCTGGTGCATGGAATGCAAACAAACACCTGCTCTATTATCTCCCAGACCCAATTTTTCTACTAGGAAGAGGCCTTTGCAATTATTGTTGACACTGTCAGCTAAGGCTGTGACAGCATTTAAAATGAGATTGCATTTCAATGTCTGTGATATACTGATCTGCAGCACCCATAACTCACCTGTTAGATCAATGCGCAGCAATACACAGGTTACCCTGATGCATTCTGGTAGCCAAGGCTGTGCAATGCTCTGATCTGTCTATAGAAGGAACTCAGTACGCGTTGCTGCTGGGTATACCCAAATTATTCCTAGCAGGGGTGGGACATGAGGTTGCCAGTATCTCCTTCAAGGGGGCATCGCTGTGCTTGTCACTCTGCTGACGTAACCCTCTCTTGGGTCCTGGCTTCCACTTCCTACTTCCTCCACACCAGAACGACACTGGCCTGACAACCAGACTCCCTGTGAGGAAAACAAGTCTCTCTTGACATCAGGTAAATGGACCCTCTCCTTAACTGGGAGAGAAGATCAGGCTAAAAGCCAACTCCTGTCAGGTCATATTGGAAACGGATGATAATTTGAAAAGTACCAATTCTGGGTTGAGAATATGACCGTGCGGGCATCCCAGACCTGCTGCCTCTTCCCTTCCAGGGTCTGGTCCAGCAGACAGAGAGAAGCTGATTTCATACTCTCTGCAGTTCTGGCGTTAGAGTCTTACAAACATCTTGGCGATTCAGGACTTGAACCCGTAACTCTCCCATGCCACAGAAGCCCCAGCAAAATGCCACAGATGCCCTTCTTTTACCACACAGTGTGGTGTCAGGAGTTCCACACATGCACAGGATTTCTGGTTATAGCTCTCCTCGTTGGCAAAAAGGGACATGTTCAAATCAGAGCTAGGCTCATTTCACGTAGAACTGGGCATGGCAAAGCTCCCCTCCAACTTTGTCCATTTTTTAATGAACCCACCGTAGGTGAGGATACTGCCTTAGGGTTTACTCCTGCCTCTGCACTCAGAGATTGCTCCTGTGGGGCCTAGGGGAATATGGGGTGTTTCAGAATCAAACCCAGTTTAGTTGTAGGCAAGCATCTTACCCACTGTACTAACTCTATGGCCTTAAGCATTTCATCTTTTTAAAATAAGCATTCTCTCTTTTTTCTGTTAAATGTGTTTTTTTTTTTCTGTAGGTAAGTTTCATTTCTTTAAAAAACTTTCTACTGTTTTGTTTTGTCTCCCCTGCCCCCAGAAGAGCTTGCAGGTGCTAACATCAGCGGTGCACTTGCTCAGCTGGTAGTGCTGGCCTACCAGCTGGTAGTATTGGCTCAGCATTGAGCCGAGTAACAGTGGCCCCTGTCCCAGGGCCACATGGGCCATGTGAGGATGGAGTTGGATCTGACCCATGCCAAGTCTGTGCTCTGCCACTTAAGTCTTCTCCAGCCCCCACCCGTGCAGGTTCTTAAGTTGAGAAAAAGGTGCAAGGTGAATCTTGGAGTGACAAAAATCAAAAGACTTCCAGAGCAACTGTGTATATCACAGAAATGGTACAGCCTTCCCAAAGGAGCTCATTGGCAAATGATTTGTTCTTTATTTTGTTCCTTTGCAGCGTTGATCAATAAAACTAAGAGCTTTAACAGAATGTGGGTCAAAGTCTGGCCAGCAGCCTTTTTCCAGAGAGCGGGGTGAGTCTGCCATCAAAACTAGCTCCTATGTCCCCACCCCACAGCAAGCAAACTCAGTAGTGGGAAGCTCAGAACTCTGAAGGCACCGAGGGAGGGCTCAGTGCTCCTTCTCCCTGATGGATGGGTCAGTGGGACAACACAGGGCCCAGCTGCAGTGCAGTCCCCCGCCCCCCCCCCCCCCCCCGCAAACACACATGGGAAGATTCTGGGTCCATCCTGTCCAAGGCCTGGCACTTCTGAGCATGCAGCACGCATGGCAGCTGCCAGTGCTCCGGTGCTGGCTCACTCTAGCTCTGCTCACACAGGCCTGGCAGCAGGGACAGGCTCTGCTGGGGGACATGTAACTAGATTCGTTCACACACAGACACTCCGAGCAAAGACTCACCCACAGGGACTCGAGCGAGAGCAAACAGGAAGATGTTGGTAGAGACGGCGAGAGTCAGGTAGCCCAGGGCACTGCAGAGAATGCAGACCAGCAGGGACTGCCGCCGCCCCGCCATGTCACTCCAGCAGCCCTGAAGAGAGAGAGAAACACTGGGTCCTCTGACACCCTGACACCACAGGGTGGCAGTGTCCAGAGTGTGAGGACTTGGTCTGAAAGCCTTGGACACTCGATTCTGTCATGTCATATACTGGGGGTGGGAGGTGGGGGTGGAGATGGCGGGAATATCTGCTCCCATAAATGAGTGGGGAAATACCCCATGGTTATTTCCAGCCACAGAAAGCCTCAGATTCCAAAGAAAGTACCCAGGATGATCTGACATAACTCATAAAGTCTCATTTTCATCAACATTCTCATTACTTTATGCAATATCCACATACACTGGTGAGATATTTAATATAAAACCAAAAAAAATCACTTCCATAATATCCAAATCTACATGAATTTTTTTAAACAAAATAGTCCATTCTATTTCATAACTTACTTTTTCCATTTTACACATATCACTATAAATGTGCTTGTGGGGGGCTCAAGCAAATAATACAGTAGATCACATGCATAGCATCCTGTTTGGGGCTGTGAGTACAATCCCCAGCACATGTCCTGTGCAATCAACATCAGTAGATATGGTCCTGGCAGCCCTGCAGCCCCCAAGAATCCAAGCATGCCTAGGGTGGTCCCTATAATAAACTGCTGTCCTTTGTCAGGGTGTCTGTTCCCCTGCACTGACCATCGCTTTTATCAGAGATTTTGCTGAGTTAATTTTACTGAGATAACTTCTCACTTGTTGCACTTTGAATTTCTGTGATCTCTTATCACCCTACTGTTTCCCTTTTCAGTGTGGGCATACTTCCCTGTGAAAGTTCCCGGGGTTCAGCAGTGACTGACTCTGGTACTGCAAAATGCCACAGTAAGTCAACATCCTTCACCATGTCAGATGCAAAAAAGTAAGAAATTTTAAAAGTGATTTGCCCTTATGATAGCTAATATCTGCTCTCTGAAGCATCTTTGCAATAAGCCACATTTCAGTATTAACTATGGACATGTTACACATAATATACGTAAAAAAAATTTTTTTTTTCAGGACAGGGACCCGAGGCAGGCCTAGGGCCAGGGCCTCTCCTGACCATCCTCAGCCCACTGGGCCTGCAGTTCAGTGCAGGGGCCCAAGTATGTGGGCTGGCACCTCGTGATGCTTGGGGAATCAGTGTCAGGGGTGGAACCAGGGTCTGCAATATTCTATGCAAGTGCCTTAACTTCTTTGTACTCTCTCTTATTATAAGCATTAGTTGGCACCCAATTCCCGCCCAACAACATTCCGCCCTGACACTGAAAACCACAAACTTTATTTCTTATTCTACGAATGGTTTGGTTGGTTGCTTTAGATTCTATTTGTTTTTTCCGACTTAACTTTACTTAGCATAATGAACCCAAGGTCGATTATATTGATTTCATTCTCTTTATGGCTGGGTAGAAACCCTTTACCCATAGTGCTTTGGACGTGGATGGATGACATATACACTCCCCACTGTCTGCACTCAACTTTTGAGGGACTTTATGGCTGTCTCTATAATGCTGCAAACATGGGGTGCAGCTATCTCCTCAAGATGGGAATTTCAGATGGGTGCAGAAAGTAGATAAAGGACCAAACATGATGGCCTCTCAGTAGCTATATAGCAAAACAATGCCAAAAAGTAGAGAGAGAGTATGGGGGGAAATTGTCTGCCATGGAGGCTGGGAAAGGGGGAGTATATCATGGATATTGGTGGTAGGGAATGTGCACTGTTGGAGGGATGGGTGTTTGATCATTGTGTGATTGTAACCCAAACATGAAAGCTTGTAACTATCTCACGGTGATTCAATAAAATTAATAAAAAAAAAATGGGAATTTTGTTTCCTTTTGTTGAATACCCAGAAGAGAAATGTCTAGATTAAGGGATCAATTAGAAATTGTTTGAAACTACCTTACTGCTGTCCATAGTGTCTGTACCAATCCATGGTCCCGTCAACAGCACAGGGTCCATTATCTTTACAGCTGTATTAGGTTAAATACTGGATAGCATTGAACTTGTCAACTCTCTGATCACAGTATTTTAAAAAAAAAAATGTGTGGTGATAGCCCACTGTAGCTTGATCAGTGTTTCCTTGATGATGATAATGTTGAAAACCTTTCTACATACCTGCCACTATATGGCTTCATTACTCATTTTAACTAGATTCTTTTTCTGATGTTGAGTTGCATGAGTCCCTTATAAATTATTGACACCAACCCCATTCAGGTACATGATTATTTGCAAGTATTTTCTCCCATTCCTGAGGCTGCCGACAGAATTTTACCTTTTTCACTTAGTTTTTATTTGCAAAATTTAATGTACAGACTCCTCCCCCCCCCCCCCAGTTTTTTCTACTCTGTAGAAAACTTTTAATTTCACCTAGTGTCTTTTATAAACTTTTAAAAATTCTGCTTGAACTTTAAGTGTCATGTTTTTAATAGACGCATGTCAGAGAACTTTTGCTCTACTTTTCTTTTAGGAGTTCTATGGTTTCAACCCTTAGATTTTATCTGCCAGGTTTGGTTTGTTTATTTTTATGGGGGCAGGGGATTTGTGGGAGGGATTGAATTACACCTGGTGGTGTTCAGGGCTTATTCCTAGTAGGACTTGGGGGATCATTTGTGGAATGAAATCAGTTCCACTGTGTCCAAGGTAGCTTTAACTCCTATATTGTCTCTCTGACACCAGTCTGTAAGTTTTATTTTTTTTATTTTTTATTAGTGAATCACAGTAAGATAAAGTTACAGACTTAAAAACGTTCATGCTTGCGTTTCAGTCATACAATGGTTGAGTACCCATCCCTCCACCACTGCCCATTTTCCACCATCAATGGTCCCAGTATCCCTCTCACCATCCCCACCCCGTCTCCCCCACCCCATCCCCTCCACCCCATCCCACCTCTTTGGAAGGGCTTTCTCTTTTGCTCTCTCTCTCCTTTTGGGTGTTGTGGTTTGCAATAGAGGTATTAAGTGGCCATCATGTTCCGTCTATAGTCTACTTTCAGTGCGCATCTCCCATTCTGAGTGGGCCCTCTTAGCACCCTTTACTTGGTGTTCCCTTCTCTATCTGAGCTGCCTTTTCCCCCAGCATGTGAGGCCAGCTTCTAAGCTGTGGAGTAATCCTCCTGGTACTTATCTCTACTGTTCTTGGGTATTAAAACCAACCATTCTGTTACTTTTTATTCCACAAATGAGTGCAATCTTTCTATGTCTGTCCCTCTCTTTCTGACTCATTTCACTTAACATGATACTTTCCATATGTTGATTCACCTATATGCAAATTTCAGGACTTCATCTTTTCTAATGGCTGCATAGTATTCCATTGTGTAGATGTATCGAAGTTTCTTTAATCAGTCATCTGTTCTTGAGCACTTGCGTTTTTATTTTCCAGATTCTGGCTATTGTAAACAGTGCTGCAATGAACATATAAGTGCAGATGTCATTTCTACTATACATTTTTGCATCTCCGGGATATGTTCCCAAAAGTGGTATTGCTGGGTCAAATGGGAGCTTAATTTCTAATTTTTTGAGAAGTGTCCATCCCAGTCTGTAAGTTTTAAACCCCACATCTGGGAAGCTTTAGCATACTATTAGGCATGGCCCCCTTTGAAGATTTCTTGACGCAAGGAGGGAAGTGTGGAAATACCGGAAAGGCAAAGCTTGCCCAGTGGGTGGTGGGTCTGCAGCAGGTGCAGAGGAAGGTGGAGGTCGAGAGGAGGAGAAGCTAGCAGGCACCTGGGAATGCCGGTGTTGTATGTCAGTGGGGAGAAGTAAGAGGAAATAGGGATGCGTGTTATACAGCCCTACTGTGCCAGGTCACAGAGCACTCTGGGAAGCCAAATGGGAGCTTCGGCTTTCCAAGCCATTCGTGGTGATGATAAACTCACTTGATGAAGCTAAACAGGGCTTCTCAAGCTTCTCCTGATCAGGGCCACTATCTACCTGGTTTCTTTCCTGTGTACCTCTGTCCTAGCAGTTACCTACCTGCCCCCTTCTCATACTGTGCCCCTACATGTGATTTCTACCCCTAGGTATAATTCTGTGACCCAAGAGATAAGGGGGTCCACAACCCACATATCACTGTATTACTGTATCACTGGTATCCCTTTGTCCATCGATTTGCTCAAGCGGGCACCAGTAACGTCTCCATTCATTCCAGCCCTGAGATTTTAGCAGCCTCTCCTCACTCGTCATCCCCCACATTGCCATATTGGAGGCTCTTTCAGGGTCAGGGGAATAAGGAGGTTATTGTTACTGTTTAGGGCATATCAAATATGCCACGGGTAGCTTGCCACGTAAGAGAAAAAAATTAGTCCAGAACAACACACGTAGCCCAAAAAATATCTCCCTTGCAGGCTGAAATTTTGAAATCCAAAAGCTACAGCAGGAGCATCTGAGAAAGTCTGGCAGAGGTGGGAGAGGACCATGGCACACTCAGCATCCTGTTTTCCATCCATCTAGACTCAGGGCCCTCCCACAATGCCAGAGGTTGAGCTGATCATGGGGAAGCAGCACAGAGGCAGCACATAGGACTGTGTTCATGTCCTTTTCCCATTTTTTATTATCTCCATCAATAGCCCTTGGCAGTCTTGGGGTTCAGCTTTTTATTTCTTCGTAGGGCTTTGGAAAGGCTCCTTTGCATGCAGGTGAAGACAAGCTGAACTGAGAAGCCCCATTTCACTCCAGCATCTTCACAGTGGCCCAGTTTACACACTGAGTGAATGTGAATTACTGTAGGAACCATGAAGCATTTGCTGTGTGAGGGAACAAGTATAGGGACTGAGTGACAGAGACACCTTGAACAGCCACTGGTCCCTGAGCTCAAAGTCTGGCCAGAGGTGATCAGTTCTGCACCCCTCCTGCCCTACTCCAAAGAGAGTGGATTTTTTTGGGGGGTGAGGGGGTCACACCTGGTGATGCACAGGGGTTACTCCTGGCTCATGCATTCAGGAATTACTCCTGGCAGTGCTCGTGGGACCATATGGGATGCTGGGAATCGAACACAAGGCAGCCATGTGCAAGGCAAATGCCCTACCTGCTGTGCTATCCACTTCAACCCCTAGAATAGCGTTCTATGACCTTCTTCAGTCTTACACAGCCACACAATCTGGACCTGCCTGCCTCTCTTTCCTTTCCAAAACTAACTTTACTCACATCCTTTCCCCATTTTTTATTGCTCTTTTTCCTTTAAAGACCCATAAATCTCTTGAGGTTAAAAACTCACATCAAATTCTTCTATGTAATACTGGGGAATGAATCCTCAAAATACTTTTATTCTCCTACAAAGGTCATAAATCCTCTCCCTTGGTTTTTATTGCAAAGGATTTCAGAAATTCCTTACTCTTCAGATCTGGGTGAGAAGTAACTGACTCCTATGTTAGCACGGAGCAGAGATAATCCTAGTTAATAATCCAGAGATAATTCTAGGTCCTGGGCCAAGCTGTTTGCATTCAACTTGGCACTTTCTCTACAGGCACATACTTAAATTCCCTCTGCCTCAGTTATCCTCGCTATGAAATAATGAAATAATGATAGTGCTCTCTGTCACTGATGTTCTTTTTTCCTTCTTAGCCCTTGTCAATGTGAGCCTTACATTAAATGACTTTGTTTACTGGTTTTGAGACCAAAGCCAGTGGTGCTCAGGACTTATTCTTGGCTCTGTGCTCAGGGGTCACTGGTGGTGCGATCAGGGGACCATAAGGGGTGTCAGGGATCAAACCAAGTCAGCCACGTGTAAAGTAAGCACCTTACCCACTGTGCTATCTCGCTGGTCCCTTGTAAAATGAGTCTTTAAGGTCAGACAAGAGCTTTCCTTGTGCGTGAAAGAGCCAGGTTTGATCCCTGGCATCCATAAGGTCCCTTAAGCACAGCTAGGAGTAATCTCAGCATAGAGTCAGGATTAAGACCTGAGCTTAGCTGGTGTGGCTCAACCCATGTACCTCCTCCAAAAGAACATCTTTAAAGACTTGGTTTAGTGGCTGTGACTAATTATTGTGAGGTTTAAATACAATAAGGTGTTCAGGGGCTGGAACGATAGCACAGCGATTAGGACGTCTGCCTTGTTCGCAGCCAACATGGCCGACCCGAGTTCGATTCCTCCGCCCCTCTCGGAGAGCCCGGCAAGCTGCCGAGAGTATCTCGCCCCCACGGCAGAGCTTGGCAAGCTACCTGTGACGTATTCAATGTGCCAAACACAGTAACAATTGTCACAATGGAGACGTTACAAGGCTCGCTCGAGCAAATCGATGAACAACGGCAGGACAGTGACAGTGAAGGTGTTCAGATCAGGGCTTAACAGTACTGAATAAATGCTAATCATTTCAACTAAAATACAGACATTTAACTAATAGGCCAAATTGGCATAGAAAACTTTTCCTTTATAAAGATTGTTTTAAATAATTTAAAAAATAAAAATAACAATTTGAGTATTTATAAAAGCATTGGTTAAAAAGACACTGAATTATATATCCTCATCTCATGGATTTCTAAGAAGGGCTCACATTAAATGATAGCTACAAGATATTCAAACTGTGCTTTGTAAGCACAAACATAATAAAGGAACGGATTTATCTGAAAAGAAAGATTGGGTCATAACTGACAATAAAACTTCACTCATAGGGCTGGAGTGATAGCACAGCGGGTAGGGCGTTTGCCTTGCATGCAGCTGACCTGGATTTGATTCCCAGGATCCCATATAGTCCCCTGAGCACCGCCAGGATTAGTTCCTGAGTGCAGAGCCAGGAGTAACCCCTGTGCATTGCTGGCTGTAACCCCCCCCAAAAAAAAATTACACATAAAAAAGCTACTTAAGTGCCAGGTGCATGTAAGGCAAGGACATATAAGGACAATGCTGTCTGTCGCTGATGTTCCTATATGCTCTGGTAAGGAGCAGAGTTAAATAAACAAATCAAACCTGATTCCTTATCGTCTGGGAGGTCAGACAACAGTGGGAGAAAGGCATGTGAATAGTGAAAATTCACTGTGATTCAACTGATCACTTTATATTACAAACATGGACACACACACACACACACACACACACACACACACACACACACACACACACCCCAGACCAAGAATTTTAGTAGTGAGTGTCCAGCTCAAACAGGAGTGTTTCCTGACAGTCCAAATCCTGTTCACAAGAATCTGCTGCTTCTCAGCCCAGGGCAAGTCACCTTAGGGCAGCCCATGAACTTGAGTTCAGGTCCTCCATTATCACTGTCCCATGCATCCAGCGTTATTCCAGCACTGCTGCTGCTTCTGACCCCGAGGCAATAAGCAATTCCTGGCCACCTCACAGCATTGAGCTGAGCACCTCACAGGGCCTGGCCTAGCCTGCTCGAGGCCGGGGCCACTGAGGCCCACTCCAGGCCTGGTTGTCACTATGGAGTGTAAGGGGGAGAGGAGGGGCAGAGAACTAGGGGTTCTTAATGTAAAGGCTGAGTGGTCTCGAGTGACAACAACTGCTCTGGGTCTTTCTACCTCCCATGGATTTACCAGATGCTACTCCACATGGCGCCTTCTGGCGTAAGTTTTAAAATCAGTGAGACACATAGCCCCAAATGCACAAGTTCTGAGAAACTCCTATGGGGTTTTATAGAAAGAACACGCAGAACTGACACAGTGGGTTTCCATTCCAATGTGTGGAGACCCCGTCTGTACAAGTCCACTCATCTCCTTGAACCCCTCTCTTTTCAGATGCCAAGTAAGGAAGAGGACGGAACGATGCTTCTTCATCTAACTAAGCTGCAAGCCCCAGGCACCAGCACATTCACTCTGACAGACAGCACAGTCCTGGTGTACCTGCATCAGAAATGGCACCCAGAGGTTTTGCGTTCAAGATGTTTACAGATGATGACTTACCACCAATGTACTTGAAAACAGTTGTAAGATGCCATAGGAAGAGCCTACAAAAACAATAAAATCATCAAGATCCATGACAGAAAATTAAAAAAAAAATTTTTGAATCACCATGAGATAAACCATTACAAAGCTGTTCATGATTGGGTTTCAGTCATACAATGTTCCAACACCCATTCATCCAGCAGTGTAACAGTGTAACTTGCCCATTACCAGTGTTCCCAGTTTCCCTCCCACCCCTTTAAGCCACCCCCCACCCCTTCTCTTCTCTCTTCTCTCTCTCTCTCTCTCTCTCTCTCTCTCTCTCTCTCTCTCTCTCTCTCTCTCTCTTTCTCTCTCATTTTAGGCATTATGGTTTGCAGTCCAGATGATGAAAGGTTATCATGTATATCCCTTTATCTACTTTCTACTCCCAGTTCTTGTTCAGAGTGATCATTTCCAATTAACGCTGTCATAATGGACCCTCCTCTATCTTAACTACCCTTTACCCCCCACACCTTTGTGGTAACGGCCAACCATTGACCAAGACCCAGGTCTTGGTCATTGGTTGGCATTTAGCATAGTAAAAATGACATCAGACCTCAAAACCATGAGAAATAAAGAGCCTTTTAAAAAGCAAACAGCACCACTTCTTTTATCTAGTTAGGAAAGTATAAGTGATATGATTTGGGGGGTTTGGGGGGAAGTGAGCTATACCCAGCGGTCCTCAGGGCTTACTCCTCTGGCTCTGTGCTCAGTGATCACTCCTGGTAAAATCTGGAGAACCCTATGTGATGTTGGTGAGCCTCATACAAGGCAAGCACCTAACCTGCTGGACTATCACTCTAGTCCTAGTAATACAACTTTTAAAGAAGGTCTTCAAAACTGAGGGGTGTTCCCAATGGTGGAGTGGCACAGAGGGAAATTGGGAGTAGAAAACTGATCCCAGCAAACTTCTTTCAAGACCTCATCTTAACTACATCTTGTGGCTCTGACATCTTAATTCAGAAAGAACTGACAAAGCTTTACATATTCTTATCCTATCCCATATCTTATCTCTCTTATTCTTCATGAGCACCCACACACTGTGGATTCTTAACACTGGTGAACCAAACACACTTTTTAAGGGAGATAAAAATTTTGACACAAACCAGAAGTCACCAAGTATTATCATACACAAAACAATTCCATAATTTGGCTATGATCAGAGACTATCTTGCATTTCTTCATGAATACAATCCTGAATGTATTTCTTACCTTTTGGTAAAGCACTAACTTCCACATGGAAATCTTGTACCACCAGGGAGAAGAATCACAGAGCAATAGTAAGCTGTGGCAACTATTTGTCATCTATCTGCCAAGGATCAGGCCAATCAACCCCTTTTCTGTGTGGTGTGATCTCTGTGAACTGTTTTTCTGGATGCTTACAGAACTCTCTGGAAGCAGTATTTCCATTAACCAACACAAACCACTCTCTGGAGAGGCTTAGCAAACACTGATGACATGTCTGGTGGCCGAGAGGGCAGGAGTAACCCTAGTCCTAAATTCTTTCTGAACAGGGATGGTCTAAGAAGAGATGAATGATGGCATTTGCTCCAAGGTAATGCTTTAGAATATTCTGAACATTTTCCTTATTCCTCTTTATATTTGCCCTTGGATAATAGCTATAAGAACATGTTTTCAGGTACTTAGTCTAGTGGGCATTAAAATCCAATACTGTGGAAATGTACGGTACGCACTAACCACTCACCTACTATTCCTGCAACCGTTGGACTTGCTCCAAGAGATCTTAGATGAAGGCTTAATAGAGGAACTACCATGCTCACTCCAAACAAATCCTCAAAGACAAAACAGCAAGTAATTTAAATTAGAATCTGATACCAGGAACTGTTCAAAGTAGGGATTCTAAAATCATAAATTGATTTTTAAAATCGTTGCTGGATACAGCGTGCACCTGTCTCACATACAGCAGATTCTGGTTTGGTCCTCAGTACAGTACCCCCAAATGTTCCCCCAAGCCTTGCCAGGAGTGATCCCTGGGAGACATAAGTTCTGAGCACCACTGGGGTTGGTCCAATCCCTCCTACCACCACTGAATAAATGCAGACAGTATCTTTCTATTTTATCTATATTCCTATAAGTCTTATTAACATGCATAAAAAGAACATGCACAAAACTTCTGTAGGGCACAACTTTTTCCTGCTAGCTTCTCTTGCTAGCCACATACATTAGCAAATTACAATTTAAAAGGCAAATTTCCAAATGTGCTTTACAATGGGCCCTCTCCATGGCTACATGTTTAGAAAACCATACATCTACTTGCAACTGCAAATAACTGATAAGTTACCCTGTTAGAGCTAGGCTTTACTATTTCCATTTTAAGGTTAATTAATATTTCTTTGGGTCCAAGTTTATTTGGTGGATGGGGGGGGAGTACTGTTAGCTTTGTACTATTGACCTGCTGACACTGTATATCATGTAAACATTAAAAGACAAAGTGTACCAGTTTCTGATGATCTTTCAGAAAAGGAAGCTCAATTGGTCAACAAGACTCCCTGTCCCCACCTTTGCTAATAATCAAATTCTTATTTTTCATAAGAATGGGAGAACAATACTTAATCTGTTATTCAAATAGTTATTCCCAACAAAGAATGTGAGAAACACTGATGTCAACAGTTTGAGATCAGTAAACGGTCATGGTGAAAATACGGGCTCAGAAGCAGTAACTGATGATACACCATCTTTTTCCATAGAAGTCACCTGTGAGTTCTTTCCTTCAAGGAAGTTCTGTTCTAAAAGGATCTTGTTCACTATAAAGGTCTTGAAGAATCGACTCTTGAAGAATCCACTTTAAATCATTCTTTAAAACTACCCACCTCAAGTGCATTTCCCTGTTAACAACAGGTCACATGCTTGGAAACGCAAGGAAATCATCCTAAAGGGCATATTTAAACTTTCAAAGCATACTTACAACCCTTACTAAAAATTAATGAAAAGTTAAAAATATGTTCAAGTTAAGGACATTTTTCAGGAAAGCAGACAGCATATTATCTTTAAACAAACTGGCACATGGTAAGTCCCAGTTCTATCTCTGGCAGCACAAATAGTCTCCCCAAGCTCCACTAGGAGTGAGCCTTGAGCACAGAGCCAAGAGTAAGCCCTAAGCACTAACAGGTGTGGCATAACGACCACCCACCCCCCTAAACAAATATATAAACTCTTTTAAAGAAAAAAAATCTCCTGAATGAAGCTGATAAAACAAAATCTTATCAAGAGAAAAAGATGGGGTCCAGGGCGATAGCACAGCAGGTAGGGAATTTGCCTTGCTCGCAGCTAACCTGGGTTTGAGCACAGCATCCCAAATGGTCCCCGAGCACCACGAGGAATAATTCCTGAGTGCAGAGCCAGGAGTAATCCCTGAGGATCGCCAGGTGTGATCCAAGAGAGAGAGAGAGAGAGAGAGAGAGAGAGAGAGAGAGAGAGAGAGGACTAAAAAGACGTTATACTATTAATACCTCAGTTTTCTAGCCAAGAGTGAGCCCAAAGTATCATAATTAGTTCCTTTCTAAACAAAATAAAATCTGAGTGGCCGACAAGTGGGCTGCGTGCCTGGGTCGGAGGTGGCTTGGCTGAGCCCACGGACAGCCTAGATCCCCTACTCCTCTGCCCACCGCCTGACTGGGTGGGAGATGGCACTGGGCCAGTGGGAATCCTAGTGACAGTCTCCAGATTTGCCTCCATCTGTACCATGAGCTTTTTGACAACTATATGTAGCAGGACGCCCATGAATTCTTAAAATTACCTACTAAATTCACAGAGGCAGGGGGGTGGGTTGGGGAGGGGTTGGCAGGAGGGACACTGGGAACAATGGTGGTGGAAAATGTGCCCTGGTGAAGGGATGGGTGCTCTATCATGAAAAGTAATCATGAAAATTTGTAACTGTATCTCATGGCGATCCAACAAAATGTATTTAAAAAATTAAAAAACAAAAAAGAGAAGAGATCAGGAAAAAGAGAATGGTAATATTGATGGTGAAAATAACAATAGCACATCAGACCTAACTTGGGTTCATGAGATACTTCAGGAACATTAACTAATGAAACCAGAGGTTTTACTTGTGAAGCTATAAGGAACAAAGATGAAGATTTCTTAGACCTTTCTGTTGAGGTAAGAATCAACAAAACATTATCAATTATTCATTGCTTAAGGGGTTTTAGCAACACAGAATCCATGCAGTGAATATAAATATTACTATGAAGAATGTTGCAGCAAACAGGAAGCACACAAAAGGTGACTTGCTACATTGATTGTCCAACGGCTATAAACAGCAGTTAAGGTATTTGGCTTTAGAATCTAAAAACAACCTGAGTGCCTGGAGAACAGGCAGATGGATAAAGAAACTACATCTACCCAATAGAATACAATGCAGCTGTTAGGGAAAAATATAAGTCATGAAATTTGCCTATAAATGGATGGATATGAAAAATATCATGCTGAGTGAAATGAATCAGAAGGAGAGGGACAGATAAGAATGACTATATTCACTTGTGGGATATAAATAAATTGACCAATATCCACGGCCAGGGAAAACAGACTAGGAAGGCTGGTCAGTGGTTGGAATCAACCTCAAGTGTGTGTGAGGCGGAGGATAGGTAAAATAGGTAAAATAGAGAAGGGGCCAGTATGATAATAATAGCTGGGAATGATCACACTGGACAAGAACTAAGTGTTAAAAGTAGGTAAAGGGATCACGATCACGATCATCCAGTTGTTCGTCGATTTTCTCGAGCAGGCACCAGTAACTTCTCCTTCTTCCTAACCCTGAGATTTTAAAAGAGCCATTTCAATGCTCTTTCAGGATTAGGAGAATGAGAACCATCATTGTTACTGGTATTTGGCATATTGAATATGACACGGGAAGTTTGCCAGACTCTGCCATGCGGGCAGGATACTTTTGGTAGCCTGCCAGGTTCTGCAAAGGAAAGATAAGATAATAAGATGTCGAGTGGCTGTGAATGCGGCTGCGCGCTTCCGGGAGCTGGGTTTTATAGTCTCTGCGTCTTGGCCGTTGATGGGATCAACCTGGCGCTGGCGGCAGCTGGTGGGTGTGACGTCTACCTACTGGGAGATGGAGGGTCTAGGTGAAGAAGGCCCAGTCCCAATCCGAGTAGGCTTGGAGACCTCAGCCCCGGGACCCACATGCCTGGGTTCCTCCGTCAGTTCTTTCATGCATGAGGCCCGTCCGGACGTGAGGAGAGTGGTCCCAGCATGGCCGTGGCTGGCTCCGGAGGTCCTCAGCTGCTGGGGTCTGCTCGGGGCAGGGTGGGGGAGAGAAACTCAACCCTCCCCCCTCCAAGGGGCCCCAGTGAGGACAGCCAGGTGCGGGGGCAGGAGACTCTGCGCTGTTCTCCTCCGGGAGCTGGGTTTTATAGTCTCTGCATCTTGGCCGTTGATATGGTTTAATATGCAGGATATATAAAGAACACACAAAAGATCCACACCACACCACCCCACCCAAAATCCCTGTCAAAAAATGGGGAGAGAAGCAGGGTATGGTGCTACCCAGTAGGTCAACTTGTACCTGTGAGGTGAATGCATCAGCAGCCTGATGGCCCCTTCAGGCTTCCTGATACCCCAAAATTGCCGCTGTGCCTCTAATTGGACCTCAAAAACAGTATGGAGTTTTCTCAGAAAAGAAAGAAATGAGCTGCCTGATGACATAATAATTCCACTTTTTGATATATCTTATAATCTTTCAGTATCTGTATTACAAACCACAATGCCAAAAGGAGGTGGAGAGGGGAGGGGAGAGAGAGAGAGAGAGACAGAGAGAGAGAGAGACAGAGAGAGAGAGACAGAGAGAGAGAGACAGAGAGAGAGAGACAGAGGGTGAGAGGGAGAGACAGAGACAGAGAGAGACAGAGGGGGGGGGACAGAGAGAGACAGAGAGAGAAGTGCCTCCCTCTATGGGAGGTGCCTGACTCCAATGGAGGGGTGGGGGTGATGGGAGTAAAACTGGGGACACTGGTGTGCTAGAAAATGTACACTGGTGGAGGGATTGGTGTTGGAACACTGTGTGACTGAAACCTAATCATGAACAGCTTTGTAAGGGTCTGTCTCACAGTGATTCAAAAAAAAAAAAAAGTCTTAAAAAAATCTGAAAGAATAGATGACAGCTCAAACAGAATATTCTGGCAAATGAAATGGCTTTTAAAATTGTGTTAGCTCCCTCTCCTGATGGATAACCATTTCCCATAAGTCTATCTCTAAATACTTGAAAAATCATATCTATATTATGTGTAATATTCTTTAGATGTTGCCTAACAAAGATTCTTCAAGAATACCCAAGGGAGCATACACTCTAACAATTTACATATTTCATTTAGAAAATCCCTACTACTCCTGGGAACTCATATGTTTCCCCTGAAGATATGACACACCTTAAGATTCTCCTTAACAATTTTTTTTTATTTTTAATTTTTTTTAAATTTTTGGGTCACACCCGGCAATGCTCAGGGGTTACTCCTGACTCAGGAATTACCCCTGGCAGCGCGCAGGGGACCATAAGGGATGCTGGAAATCGAACCCAGGTAGGCCACATGCAAGGCAAACACCCTACCCGCTGTGCTATCGCTACAGCCCCTCTCCTTAACAATTTATTAAAGCTTCACATTGGGCTTGCACTCCTGGCCATCCATGTAAATAATGCATAGAAAGTTCATGAGAAACTTTGACTATCCGAATATTCAGATCTGCATAAGTGAAAGATGAGTGAACTTGCATCATCATAAAACCCACACCTTCTCGATTCTTGGTCATGTGGTTTCCTCCCAAAATTCAGATGATCCCTTGCCTGGCTTTTCCAGACCCTGATCCCAGCACTCTTCCCTGTGGCAGAACCAGAAGGAAAGGCAGTGTCTTGCGGATGGGAGAGCAGCTTGGGGCCTGTATCTCCAAACAGATGAGGTGGCTGCCACCTTGCTTGCTTCCTTTTCCAAATACAAAGTACCACATATATTCACTGGTTCTGAGTCCCAGTCTGGAAAGTGGACGAAGCAGCTGCATCCTGAGGCTGAACTACAGAGAACAGAAAGGGCACAGGAATCTGCAGGAGTGGCTCTGAGACTCGGAGATGAGGTCTGTAAAGTAAAGAGAAGGTGGAGACCCCTTAAGCCTGCCTCCCTGGGTCACTACAATTCTACTGTCTGTGCTGGAAGAACATGCTGAATCTTGTTAACAAGAAAACTCCAGGCTCTGGGGCCAGAGTCTCTAGGGCAGAGTGATGTAGGGTATTTGCCTCGCACCCAGACAATCCAGATTGAAATGTTGGATCACCAGCATCCCATATGATCCTCCAAGCACTGCCAGTACTAATTACTGAGTGCAGAGCCCTGGGCATCTCCCTGGTTGGTGGTAGTTGTTGGGGGGGAAGGGCCCCAAAAAAGCCAAAAAAAAAAAAAAGGAAACTCCAGGCTTTTTCACCAAGAAGGCATGAGAGGACCACTTCCAGACTGCCGTCCATGCTCTGCAGAGGTCTGCAGCCCAATCAGTGACACTCTGGACTTCAGGATAGCACATGGTCCTCACCTGTACAAGGTCGAAAGCTGCCTAACTGAAAGGTGCTCGAAAGGTGCTCTACCAGGCTCCAGGACTTTGTGGTCCACTCCCACTGGCAAGATAACCTGCTGCAAGACAGTTAAGGAAGAAATCCTGGTAGTGTTGTGTCTCAATTCTGTACATGACCAGGGTGACTAGTTCTCAACGGGAAAAGTGGAGTGAGGAGGTTGAGTCTAGGGTTCTGGCAGTGATGGCCCGGGAAACTATCAGAATTAGCTTGCCAAGAAGATGGGAATTCCTCCCTCAGGTGTTGTGGATGGCAGGACGTGGAGATCCACAATGCCCAGATAGAAAAGGTTTTCAGAAATCCCATGCCTAAAGCAATGAAAGGGCAAGTGGCCCTGCTCTGTCAGGCACTCGGCATTTTTTTCAGTTTCCCACTCTGCAAGGGAGAGTGCACCATCACTGCGGGCATTAAACCAGAAAGCAAGCGCGCGCACACACATGTCACACACACAAACGCATACCTGTATGATGCAAGGCAGCAACAGCAGCACACCATGTTTCGCACTTCCCCCAGCGCCCCCCCACACACCCCTCCACACACACACCTGTACCGAGCAACCGCAGAAACGGCGTATCAAAGTCACAATAATGCTTCAAAACATACACGCACGCACACACACCTGTAAGGCGCGTTGCAGAAACAGCTGGTTCAAAGTCACAAGCATGCCTTACCTCCGCCTGCACTTTGAAACGTTCCAGCTTGCCAGACACCTAAACCGAGCTCGGTTTGGCCCTGCGGCAGCGCGGGTGCACAGCCACCCGCGAGACCCGACCACCGAGGAGGGATTGGACAGGACAGAAGTGCCCACCCCAGCTGGCCCGTCGCAGCTCCTGGCGGTGGGGCTGCGGATACCCGGCGGGGAGCACGGGCAGGTAGGTGTGAGGGGTTCGATCGGTGCGCAGCTCCAGCAGCGCTCGGGTTCCCATCGCCGCCGGAGCCCGACCCGCGCCGCCCGGGCTCAGAGCCAAGAACCCCGGGGCTGGGCTCGGGGCTCCGACAGGGAACGCCCCTCCGGGTCCCCAGTACTCACCAGGAAGCCCACCAGGTAGAGACAGTGCAAGACGCGGCGGGATCGAAAGACAGAGACCTCAGAAGGCCCCGTCTCGGCTCCCGCGCCCGGCTTTGGCGGCGGTTCCGGGGCGTCCAAGCCCCCGCCGCCTCGACCCCCGCGATTCATCCCAGAGCCCCGGAATCGCCAGGCGCTGCCCAGGAGTCACCTGGCCCCGCCCCCAGCCCCGGGCCCGCCCTCGGCCCCGCCCCGAACGGAAACGGGCGGGGGCATTGCGCGTGCGCAGAGGAATCTTCCCCCGGCCGGCCCCCACTCTGCGCCTGCGCAGGGATCCCTGCGCGTCAGCCCCAGCCACTAGGTGAGGGCGCGGGGAGTGCGCGTGCTCAGAAGGACCCACTCGCGCTTACCCTACCGGGGAGCTGGGAATTTCTGCGTCCGGAAGCCGGCGTTGCGGTTGGTCCAGGCTCGTCTGGGGACTGGCCTCTTTGCGAGATGGCAGGGACAGTGGCAGGGACGAGGCTTGGCATGTCTGTGGCCTGAGAACCTGCGGTGCGGGCCCGGCCAGGGCTAGAGAGACTTTGCAAGGAGCTGCTCCTCGTGGTGGACTTGGTGCTCCTCCCGCTGGCAGAGTAGCAGGGTCGGGGCTCTCTGGGGGTGCGGGGCTGGGTACCAGCCAGTGTGGTTCCCTGGGTTCTGCAGGTTTGGAAAAAGGAACGTGAGAGCTGTCCCTGGGAGAGGAGAGAGCGGGGAGCAGCAGGAGCGCGCCCTGTGGACGTGTCTCTTGTTTTCTTTAGCTCCGGGTGTTTGGTGTTCCTGCACCCGTTCTTCCCTCACTGAAAAAGTCTTAACTCCAGGTGGAAAGGCGAGCTCTGGCAACACGCTCCGCCCCAGGAACGCTTTTTTTTGGGGGGGGGGGGGATCCTTCTTCCTTGGGCGTCCCGGGCAGGGCCATGTCACAGCCCGGGATGCGTTTACCAGCATCCTTTGGGAACCTCTGCACCCTGTCCGACTGCCTTCACTGGCACACCCAGCTCTGCCCTCCTGGAAGCGAGCGTTTTTCAGAGCTTTAGGGGCGCTTCCTTTGGGCTGGGCACGGAGCAGCAGGTCATAAAATATAAACACGGGCATGAGCATGAAAGGAACTAGTAACAAATGCGCGATGGTAAGAGAATTAAAGCACAGTGCGTAAAACATCCTGACTAGGGGTTAGTGAAAGCCCGGCCTAGAGTGTGGGATCTGTGGGATGGAGTGAGGTGAAGAGAGCCCCCACCCAGAGATAACTTGGAGGAATTGATGTACAATCTGAGCAGAGTTGTAAGGAATGATTGTAGCTGAAGCTTTCTGAAGAGTTTAGAAAGCTGGGGAAGCAAGCTCGTCATCAAAGACAGAAAGAAGCTAGGGTGGAGAAATAGTCCGGTATAGGTAAAGTGTTTGCCTTTTATGTGAAAGCCAGGTGCAGTTCCCAGAAAAGCCATAAGTGATCCTGGAGCACAGCTAGGTATGCCCCCATGGTCCCTCTCCCCTCCCACTCCCAAGGGGAAAAAGGTCATGCCTCAGATGCGGGGGTTTCATTCAGTGCAATGGGCAGAATTAAGCAGTGAGTGGTACCCAATAGTATTATCAATAACCTGTCATTGATCAATCGCAACATTGGTAAACAGAGAAAACAGAAAACCATCCCACGTATTACCGTGGGTTATTGTGAAGAAGTGACATTGCACTGAGCATGAGCACTGCTTGGTACAGAGCAGTGTTCCCTGCACTGCTAGGAGTTTGCTATTGTCATTTAACTTTTTTTGTTATATTGAGTTATTATAATATGTTCAAATTTTTCAAGTCTAAGACCGTGCTACATGTGTCATTAAAGAGAACTTAAGGCACTCCAATATGGAATCCCTTGGCATCTGTCCTCATCCTGCAGACAAACTTCTCCTTATTTGCTTCTCCTTATATAGCTCTGCCTGCCTGCCTGCCTGCCTACCTGCCTGTCTTCCTTCCTTCCTTCCTTCCTTCCTTCCTTCCTTCCTTCCTTCCTTCCTTCCTTCCTTCTCTCCTTCCCTCCTTCCCTCCTTCTTTCCTTCCCCACGTGTACTCAGAGCTTAATCCTGGCTCTGTCTTCAGGGTTCACTCCTAGCAGGTCTCAGGGGATCCTCTGTGGTGGTGGGAATCAAAAGAGTTGACTATGTGCAAGGCGTGCAAACACCTTAACCCCCAACCTGTCTCTGGCCTCCTGGCTTCAATTTCACACCAGTGCAACATCAGCCACTTGTTCTATGTGGAGAGTTGTTGCTACTAAGATCATATCAACATGTCTCCCACCCCACAGCCTGAGTCTCATCAATTCTTTGGTCTGAGACACTCAGTTTAAACTGGGCTCATTGAGCTCCTATGTATTACAAATAAAGGGATGGGTAAATTAAAATGCAATAATTTAAGAGATGATTATGTATAATATATGTATCTCATAACTTCCATAATTTTATTTCTAGCATAATTTATATGGTAAAAATTTCCCTCATTTGTGATCTCAAGTTTTATTTTAGGAATGATTTATTGTTAGAACACTAGTAGAATTTCTTATAGTATTAAACCTGGACCTAGAAACTCATCTCTCATTCAAAGTGAAGTTTCTTTTTTTTTTTTTTTAATATCACTATCATTGTGTAAGTAGTCTCAATTTAATGGAGCTTAAACTGCCTAAATGAATCAGGTGACTGGACCTATGGATTTTGCTACAGTTTGTTCAATGTAATAAAATTATTATAACCTTTAACTTTGATGGTATCATATGAGTGAATGATAATCAGTATCAAATTCCAAGAAAATAGTAACTCCTGTCACAAAAATACTTGTATTACGTAAAAACCCGTAACATTGGATACAGGCTTTAATATGGAGTGCTAATTTTACTTGTAGCCAGCAGATGGCAGTGTTCAACCCATTTCAAATCAGTAAGTTTTTTAGTTTTTTTATTCTTTTCTGTACCATTTTTATTGATGTACTGGGATTTACTGTAGTACTGTCCTCCCATTGTTCATCTGTTTTCTCGAGTGGGCACCAGTAACATCTCCATCATGAGACTTGTTGTTACTGTTTTTGGCATATCAAATACGCCACCGGGAGCTTGACAGGCTTTGCCATGCGAGCGAGATACTCTCAGTAGCTTGCCGGGCTCTCCGAGAGGGGCAGAGGAATCGAACCCAGGTCAATCGTGTGCAAGGCAAACGCCCTACCTGCTATGCTATTGCTCCGACCTGGGATTTACAATACTGTTAATTATATTTTAATGAATACAACATTATAATGTCACACACATGTCCAGATAGTCCACTTCCTCCACCAGAGTTCCAGTGGCCCCTCCTAATCACTCTACTTGAAAGTAAACTCAGTTTTATAGACATCTCCAGCTCCAGTGACTTTGGCCATTTGTTTTTCCATTACTCCGTTTCTTTATATCCCACATAGGAGAAAAATTGTTTATGTTTTAATTGTGGAGGTGGTGACACCTCCATACACAGAGAGATGAGTTGAGCCAACTCCTGAAATAACACAGAAATGTAAATCAACCATGTGTTCTAATTTTTCAAAACATATCTTTTTATAAGAATGTAATTTTTAAATTATATTATTATATTAAACTATAAAACCCTGCTCCCGGAAGTCAACAGCGTAGAGTCTCCTGCCTCCACACCTGGCTGTCCTCACCAGGGCCCCTAGGAGGAGGGTGGGTTGAGTTTCCCTCCCCACCCCGAGCAGAGCCCAGGCAGCTGAAGACCTCCGGTTCCAGCCACAGCCATGCTTAAGACCACTCTCCACACGTTCAGACGAGCCTCACACATGAAGGAACCGGCGAAGGAACCCAGGTGTGCAGGACCCGGGGCGTAGATCTCCAAGCCTGCTCTTATTGGGATTGGGGCCTCCTCCACCCAGATCCCCCATCTTCCAGTATATAGGTGTTACACCCACCAACTGCCCCTGGTGCCGTGTAATCCCATCAATGGCCAAGACCCAGAGACTATAAAACCCTGCTCCCAGAAGTGCACGGCTGCATTTGCGGCCATGCAACCTCTTATTATCTACATCTTACTCTGGAGAACCTGGAAGGCTACCAGAAGTATCCTGCTCACACAGCAGAGTCTGGCAAACTCCCCATGGTGCTTTCAATATGCCAAAAACCAGTAACAATGATGGATCTCATTCTCCTGACCCTGAAAGAGCCTCAAATGTGGCATTTTTTAAAATATCGGTAGGATGAAGGAGACATTACTGGGGCCTGCTCGAGGCAATCGATGACCAACAGTCTGACAGTGAATTTTTTAAAATTAATGTGTGAATAAATCCATGTTATTTCATTAAAAATTACACAAAATAGATAAAAATTCTCCAGACCATTTAGTTAAGAATGAGTGAGGAGAGATTTTTTTTTAATTAAAAGGAAAGCATAAATAGATCTATAAAGTGTAAAATTGTATTGTGTCTTTAAAAAAGGGACACTGGGGCTTGAGCAGTAGTACAGTGGGTAAGATGCATGCCTTGCATGCAGCCAACCTGGGTTCAATCCCCAGCACCCCATCTGGCGTCCTGAGACTGCCAGGAGTGATCTCTGAGTGCAGAGTCAGGAGTAAACCATGAACAACACAGGTGTGGCCTATAAAACAACGAAACAAACAAAAAATAAGGGAACACTGGCATTATGTTAGAAATATAGGCAATGCTCAAGTAATTAAGTAAAAGATAAAGACCACTATGAATGTAAAAAATCCACCTAAATAAATAGAATATTCAATACCATTAAAACATTGTTACTGAAAAAATATAAAACCCTTAGCTCACTAGGAATAAAAGGACCTTTCTTCATATGGTAGAGGGCAACCATAGATGCCATGAGTAAATGTCATATTCAATGGGAAAGTACTGAGCAGTTTGTCTTTTATTAATTTGCTTTTTAACTTTATTAAATTTTGTTTCAGGCACCATGGCTTATTATACCATTAATAATAGTATATTATAATATATAGTAATATGGTTTCATACATAAATCTTTTTTATCACCACATACTGGAAGAATGTCCGCTTCCCTTCACTATTGTCCTAATAGCCCTACCCCTCATATTTTTACTGAAGATAATTTCTCAATTTCTGTTGCCATTTATC